ACTTTTAATCTCTCAGTGCTGCTGTTTCTGCATCAGGAAAATGAAGTTAAAAATAACATTTACCTCATAGGGTTGTCGTGAGCTAATACATGTAAACAACATAAAAGGGTGCCTGGTACAGAGTTGGTGTTATGTATTTGTTACCTACTGTTGCTTCTTCATTTTCTAGTAATTTCCTGGATCTGCAGAGATGTGAGGTAGGAAAGGATAAGGTAGAAAAACGTCAGGTCCAACCTCCAGTGGGTTATTTGTGATTTGTAGCAATATCGTATCCCAACTATACTTCTTTCACCATCTGCATTTTTTTCTATAGCATTAGAGAAATGGTTACAATAACACTGATAAGAACTTGAATCTTTTCGCTCATTTATTCATGCATCCGTGTTTGTTCATTTATTAATTATTTATTTGAGTTAGGGCACTAGGCAGTGTACAAACCTGTACAGAGGAAAGAATTTTCCCCTTAAGTAATCTACAGCCATTTAGTTAGTGGTATAAACCATTAACATCTAATCAGAATGACTGTGCTTGGAATATTCTGTGAAATCCCAATAAATAAAACTAATCAGAAATAAAATATCATATGATATCACTTTTATGTGGAATCTAGAAAAAACGACACAAATGAACTTATTTACAAAACAGAAACAGACTCACAGACATAGAAAACAAACTTATGGTTACAGAGGGGAAGCGGGGGAGGGATAAACTGGGAATTTGGGATTAACATATACACACTACTATATATAAAACAGACAAACAACGAGGACCTACTAGAAAGCACAGGGAACTATATTCAATACCTTGTAATAACCTATAATGGAAAAGAATCTGAAGAATATATATATGTATATATATATATGTTTATACATATATAAAAAACTGAATCACTTTGCCATACACCTGAGACATTGTAAATCAACTATACTTCATTAAAAATGAAATAAATGGTCTAGGAAGAGTATTTTGTGAGAAAAATTCAGTTTCTGTACTAAGAGACTGATGTCTTTAGCCATATTCATATGTAGTTTCAGTCTTCAAACTATAGATGTGGTCTCACACCTCGTCTCTTCATCTTTACCAAGACCTTCCTTTGAAATTACCTGGCATTTTTCCTTCTGTTGTGAACAGAAGCTCCCTGTTGAAGCTTAGATCAAACACTTTTATCTCAAGTCATTCCGTAAACATCTGCTAAATGCCTGCTATGAACCTAAACACTCTGAGTCTATTTTAGCCAAAACTGTCTGGGATTATGAATTATATGGATACAGACTTTAATTTCCTATTTCATTTTTGGTTGTGTTTTAACCCATAAACTATGCCTTTTCATTTGTCATCTGGGCTTTACTAAGATGGATGAAGTACATAGCCATTTTTCAAAATAAGGAATCTAACAGAAAATCAAACAATCATTTCATTGCAAGAAATAAAGTAGGATCCATTTTTGATTTGGTTCTTTTTATGGGCTCAAAAAAGGCTCATGCCTTAAATGTTTTTGAACTGCTAGCAACATTTTATGAGGCCTTCCAATATACTTCACTTAGACCACTAATGGTGATATGCCTGATGGTAACTGGTCACAATTTTCATATGGTGAAAATCAAAAGTTTATCATGGTAACAATTAAATGACCTTTAAGGTTTTTTTTTTTTTTTTTTTTTTTAGGTTCTTATATCCCTAAATTACTAGGATTCTAAATCTGTCTTCTCCAATATGGTAGCCACTGGCCACACGTGCTTCTGAGTACTTGAAATGGGGCTAGTCTAAACTGAGATGTGATCTAAGAATAAAATACACACCAGGTTTTGAAGAGTTACTATAAAAAAAGAATAAAATATTTTGGATATATTGGGTTAAATAAAAATATTGGGCTTCCCTGGTGGCGCAGTGGTTGAGAGTCCGCCTGCCGATTCAGGGGACACGGGTTCGTGCCCCGGTCCAGGAAGATCCCACATGCCACGGAGCGGCTAGGCCTGTGAGCCATGGCCGCTGAGCCTGCGCGTCCAGAGCCTGTGCTCTGCAACGGGAGAGGCCACAACAGTGAGAGGCCCGCGTAACGCAAAAAAAAAAAAAAAATCATTAAAATGAACTTTACCAACTTATTATTTTTATGTTACTGTGGCTATTGAGAATTTGAAATTACTTCTGTGGCTTGCATTATATTAATACTAGACAGTATCACTCTAGACCTTCAAAACAAATGGATCAAAATCTCTCTTTAAGGACTTTTTAATGTTTATGGCCAATGTTTCAATACTGAGGTCCTTATGCCTCTAAAAGTCAAGTTAAAACTCATACCTACCAAAAACTAATAAACCCTACATGGGTGGATATTTACCACCAAGTTCCTCTCGAAATTACCCTCTGTCGAGGTCCTGTGAAAGTTCTATGGTTACAATACTGAATGTTCATCCCCATGGTTACTGTCTCAACTACATCAAAAGATTATCAGCAAAGGAGGCAAGAATATACAATGGAGAAAAGACAGCCTCTTCGATAAGTGGTGCTGGGAAAACTGGACAGCTACATGTGAAAGAAGGAAATTAGAACACTCCCTAATACCATGCACAAAAATGAACTCAAAATGGATTAAAGACCTAAATGTAAGGCCAGACACTATATAGAGGAAAACATAGGCAGAACACTCTATGACATAAATCACAGCAAGATCCTTTTTGACCCACCTCCTAGAGAAATGGAAATAAAAACAAAAATAAACAAATGGGACCTAATGAAACTTAAAAGCTTTTGCACAGTAAAGGAAAACATAAACAAGACGAAAAGACAACCCTCAGAATGGGAAAAAATATTTGCAAATGAAGCAGACAAAGGATTAATCTCCAAAATTTACAAGCAGCTCATGCAGCTCAATATCAAAAAACAACCCACCCAATCCAAAAATGGGCAGAAGACCTAAACAGACATTTCTCCAAAGAAGACATACAGATTGCCAACAAACACATGAAAGGATGCTCAACATCACTAATCATTAGAGAAATGCAAATCAAAACTACAATGAGGTATCACCTCACACCAGTCAGAACGGCCATCATCAAAAAATCTACAAACAATAAATGCTGGAGAGGTTGTGGAGAAAAGGGAACCCTCTTGCACTGTTGTGGGAATATAAATTGATACAGCCACTATGGAGAACAATATGGAGGTTCCTTAAAAAACTACAAATAGAAGTACCACATACCCAGCAATCCCACTACTGGGCATATACCCTGAGAAAACCATAATTCAAAAAGAGTCATGTACCAAAATGTTCATTACAGCTCTATTTACAATAGCCTGGAGATGGAAACAACCTGAGTGTCCATCAACAGATGAATGGATAAAGAAGATGTGGCACATATATACAATGGAATATTACTCAGCCATAAAAAGAAACGAAATTGAGTTATTTGTAGTGAGGTGGATGGACCTAGAGTCTGTCATACAGAGTGAAGTAAGTCAGAAAAAGAAAAACAAATACCGTATGCTAACACATATATATGGAATCTAAAAAAAAAAAAAAAGAAAAAAAAGGTTCTGAAGAACCCAGGGGCAGGACAGGAATAAAGATGCAGATGTAGGGAATGGACTTGAGGACATGGGGAGGGGGAAGGATAAGCTGGGACGGAGTGAGAGAGTAACACTGACATATATACACTACCAAATGTAAAATAGATAGCTAGTGAGAAGCAGCCGCATAGCACAGGGAGATCAGCTCGGTGCTTTGTGACCACCTAGAGGGGTGGGATAGGGAGGGTGGGAGGCAGACGCAAGAGGGAGGGGATATGGGGACATATGTATACATATAGCTGATTCACTTTGTTATAAAGCAGAAAGTATCACACCATTGTAAAGCAATTATACACCAATAAAAATGTTAAATTAAAAAAAAAAAGATTATCAGCAAATACACCAAAATGTTAAGAGTGATTATTTCTGGGTAGTGGGGTACTGCGTGACTTTTGCATTCTTTTTTTATTCTCTTCTTCATTTCTGAGTCTTTCAATGACGAGGACTGTTATGTTTCTTCATCAGAAAAATGCGTCTTTAAATATCAGTGTGAATGATTTTCTGAACTGCATAAACATCACGAATATGTAAAAAAGAGACCAACTTAAAAAGGAATATCCCAACATGCTTTCATCTGCTCTGCTCCATTTCCAAATATTCTATAGTGAATAGGTTACTTCCATCAAGGGAAAAAACACACCTCCTTTAAAACCTGAAATATTCATCCACCTGTTTAACCTTAAACCTAAGTTAATTTGCATGCTGATTTTTTTAGAACTCCTTTTATCTCTGCTGTATTAGACGGTAGAGTAAATACTTTAGGTTTGAGCTTCAACCGTATGCTAACATAGCTATTTTAATATTTTTATAACTACCCTCAACCAGAACAGCATTTAGCTTGAGTCTATGCAAGAGATGCGGAAGAAACCCTAAAGATATTTTAATACCTCACTATGCGTAGGGGTTTAGGTTGTACTGCAAGGATGCCCATCTAAAGGGGTTCCACTTGCATCTGAGTCCTGCAGCAACGGGTTTGGGGGAGAACCCTCCTGCATGCTGTCCAGACCAGCTCAGAATGCCACCTGCACACTCGGGAGGGCTCAAGCCTGTGTACACACACACACACACACACACACACACGCACATGAGTGAGTGGGTTGTGCCCTATCCAGTGGGCAGTGGCTCTTCTCACCTGCCTTCCACTTTCAGAGGCCAGCACCACCACCTGGCCTGGTTTCTGGGTACCATGGGGGGTGTGCAGTGCTGTGGCACCGGCGTGTGTAGGTGGGTGACACACACAGCTAGCACTGTTGTGTGCCCTGCTGGCTCTGGAGTAAGCTGGGCTTCTCAAGGCCCATCAGATATGATTGTTTAGCCTAGCAACGTTCTATTCATTTAATTTTTCTTTCTTCTTGAGGAAAAGGGCCTTTTTCCAATTCCCGCGAGGCAACAGCCTTTTGGAATACGGCACTGGCATGCGGCGCAGAACTTACTGTTGGTGGTGAAGATGATTTCTCCCTCCTGCGGGGTGGGATCTGTATCCTGGACCACCTGCAAGGCTCCCACGGTCCGGACAGCAGGGTCCAAAGTGACTGAGCTTTCATTTACGGTTGTGTCGCTTGCGCCGGTGATCTGGTTGGTTGACGGACCTCCCAGAGATCCCTCGAAGTCAGTGGGCAAGTCGTCCATGCAGTCGGCATTGGGCTGACAGGAGCAGAAAAGGACCTATCTTAGTGTATATCATCAAGTTAGAGATGAGATGTCTACAGCCTAAATATTTTGTCCTGAGGGAAAACCAAGTTCTTTACTGTTTTCTTCCTGAACCACTTTATTTAAAGACATTCCACATATAGTTCCTGTAATTAACATGAAAACATCTTCCAAAATTTTATTTCCAAAGGTTCCGTTTAGATCTACAGACAAGGTTTTAATTCCAGAGGTAGCAGTAGCCATACATTAATATAATTACATAGGGAGAATAATATGATACTTATTTATAATGACAGCTCTTCCTTATCTATAGTGTTTACTTCTTGTATAGGAAGTAGCTGACAGCCTGATAATTAGCCCCAAAGACCCATGTGTTGTTTACAAATAGACTGATGGCATGAGAGGGGAGACAGAATCTCACTCGTGCATCAGAGATACACACATATACCTAAACAAACGCACACACAAACACAAGAGCACAGGGTGAGGTGCTGTTAAACATAAGCCCAAAAACCACCTGCAGAGCAAAGCCCTATTTACATAACATTCAATTGATCGTACATTTGTCAAATCTTCTAAGTTAAAATCTTAGCATCATAAAACTAGGGTGAGACCATCTACTTTAATTACCCACTCACTACAGGACTCTCCCTCCCAATATTCCTCACAGCTCCACTTGAAAAACGTAGAGACCGGGGTCTCTTGTGCCTCGCCAGGCAGCCTGTGTCGGCCAGCTTCTCTTAGCGGGCAGCGGGGCAGTTTGACTCTTTGGTCTCAGTTCTGCTGGCTGAAGTGGTGTTGAATATATTGATATCTCTTCCACAAACAGCTTGTAAAACATGATTTTCAGTTGTTCTGCCTCTGACCAAACTCATAAAAATGATTTTTTAAAGGTGGTGGAGGAGAGATACGGTCTTGAGAAGCACTAAGAATGGCTGTTAATCACACGTTTTGCTCCACGCTGGAGAGTGACATTGCCTTGAGCGACGACAATGACACGGTTTTGCACCCTGTCCAAGGATGCAGATCAGGGTGGGCAGGCTTGGGTGAGGAGAATCCTAGGTTGACACTGTTTGAATTAACACCACAATGACTAGATTGTGTGCAAACTTCATTGAAAGAGAAAATCTACCACTCACGGGCTCATGGGGAGCACAAGGCAAGAAATCCAAACTGCTGGACTCTTGTCCTGGATTTCCATTCTCAAGCCAGGTCTCCCAAGCCCCGCGCCTGTGTTTCCAACAGTCAGCTGGAAATCTCCATCATCCCACAGAAACCTCAGGTTCAGCTCATTCCCTTTCCCCCACATTCTCTTTGTGTTCTGCTGGCTTCACCTCTATTGGCAGTGGGCCAATTCCTTGAAATTCGAGTTGTTGAAAGTCAACCCATTGAATGACTGATCCTCCAAGTTTACTGACTGAGATTATTGGACATGAGCGGGTATGTTCTGAACGTTTCTTACCCCATTACCAATTCCCAATCTCCCTCTAGTTTCTTCCCCGGTATACTTCATTCTCCACTTTTTCACCAGAGCACTCTTTCTTTTTTTTAAAAAAAGCACAGGTATGATTCTTTTTCTTTTTTTCCTCCTAAAGAATAAATTACAAGCTCCTTAGTATAGCAAAACAGGCACCGTACAGTCTGACCCAAGCCTTCTTTTCTGGCCCTACCTTCAGCCTTTGGAAACACACAGAATAAACCATATATTCCCCATTTCAGCACCTTAGCATACGCTGCTCTTCCACTCGGGATGACAGTTGCCCAAATCATCATCCCCTTCCCCTCTCCCATCCCAAGGTCTCAAACTAACCCTGGTGAACTCCTAATCATCCCTCAATTCCCAGGCCAAATGTCTCTTTTCTAAGCAGCGCTCCCTCCCAGTAGTCATCTTTGATACTGTAACTCTTTTCACACTTCTCCCACTGTTACAGTCATTTGTTACTGTGTTAGTCTCACTCTACTAGTCCGCAAGCTTTTTTTTTTAATTCCGGTTTTACTGAGCTATAATTGGCATGGCATATTGTATTAGTTTAAGTTGTACAACATGATGATTTGATACATGTGTATGTTGCAAAACCATCACTACAATAAGTTTAGTTAACATCCATCACCTCACATGATTACAAAATTTTTATTCTTGTGATGAGAACTTTTAAGATCTACTCTCTTAGCAACTTTCAAATATACAATACAGTGTTGTGTATTGTATTAGAGTCACTGTGCGGTGCATTACGTCCCCGGGACTTACTTATTTCATAACTGGAAGTTTGTACCCTCTGACCCCCTCACCCATTTCACCCTCCCCACCTCCTGCCCCTGGCAACCACAGATCTCTTCTCTGTTTCTTTTCCACGTAGGTTCCACATACAAGTGAGACACTTAAAGTGAAGCAACTACACTATATTGACCTTGAGTTCCAAGCCCTCACATAGTGCCTGACAATTATTAAGTGCTCAGTAAATGCTGATTTGGAAATTTTATCTAAGTCTCAGTTTACTGCTCTGAAAACTTGGGAATGTTAGTATCTGCCCAGATCCAAGATCAGTGAAGGGAAGATTTGAGAAAATACTTTAAAAAATTCAATTTCTGGGCAAAGGTAAAGTACACCTTTGAAGGGTAGCAGAGTATGCCACTGCCCAAATTTGCTATGTTGGCATAAAAATTGTTTTTAGCTGAAACAATTGAGAATTGGGTAAAGAAATGCTCTCTGCCTTCCCCCTATTTGCCTAAAAGCAAGACATAAATTTGTAAGGGGGTCCCCCTCTCTGTACCAGAAAGAGAAGAACATTCTTATCACCAGCGACTGGGAGTTGACGTAACAAACCTAACTGACATGCCCTTATCTGCCATTGGTTTCCCCCATATATTTACCTCCCCACAATTTGCTGTCCTGGAAACTCAAAGTCCTTTCCCTCTGTCTTGTCACTTCTCTAAAAATTTATTGCTCTTTTTTGAAGATGCTATAGAAGCCGAAGTTCTAACCACCCTTCTGAATCACTCATCGCCAAGTGCTCCTATGTGCACACACGATGCATGTGTTCATAAACTTCTGTTTGATTTTCTCTTGTTAATCTGTCTTTTACAAGCCTAATTTACGGGGTCCAGCTGGAGAACCGAGGACGGCAGAAGAAAAAATAACTTCTTTCCCTCCACTATACTATGTAAAGATGCAGATTCAAATTGTGTGCGGGTATCAGGGAGGAAAAGAGCTCCAGGTGAGGATCCTGTGCTGGTTGTTCTTTCAGCCATAAGCACCTGGATGTGACCACAGATGCAAGAAGAGCTGACATAGTTTTCACGATGTTGACTCTGCTTGGTGATCGTGTTCTTGTTTTCTCTCTTTTCTCTTTTTATAAGATTATTTTATTAGTTTTGATGCAGGGTGTTCGCTTTTACTTTGTGGGCTAGCAGGAATAGTGTTATGTCTCTAACAGAGGTGAGTAGAGGAAAAGAGAAAGCGAATTAGCTCAGTGAGACTTGTTAATGAGAGAACGAATAAATAATTCGGCTTAGAAACAACATTTAACAGACCCACCTTACAGAACCTCACAGTTTATATCCACTCGAAATGGTTCATCAAATAGAATGATATTTTGAATAGAAACCCAATTTATATACCTCTAAGAGAAATTACAGTCATAACATTTAGTAAGAGATGTCAAATACCATCTGTAAGTGAACAGCATATAGGTTTTCAAATTCAGGTTAGCAGGGAGAACTCAAATAAACCAGATGCGAAATAGTTAGGGACTCGTGAATATACCAGCTGCACGGGATTTTCTATTCGTTTACAATCATCTTATTTATACCAGGATAATAGTGATAGGAGACGGTGTGTGCTGGGATGAAAAAGGCCCGTGTTATATGGTACCTTATAGGAGCACTCAATGATGTGATCTGTCATCCTGCAAAGACACCCCCTAGACCTGACTGGAGAGAAAGGAGGATGAAGCACTTGAATGTAGATAAGGGGATTGAAAACACTCTGACAGTAAAGGACCTGCTCCTGTCAGGTTCAGTCTTTTATTTCTCTTGGCAAAATATAATGGCAGAAGGTACCACTGTAATAGGAACCAGTTAGAGCCAGAAATGTGGAACATGCCAACAGCGAGTTTAATTTTCTAAGTCCCTAGTATCTGATAGAGATGTTGGGTTTTTACTCATGTTTCATGTTCACTGTCAGTGATTTTCACCTTGAATGTATTATGCCTTCACAACTCTGGCCTGAAAATGTAATGCATTGCCTTTCAAACTCTAGCTCAAAGCTACAGTCACACAAATTGATCTGTGCTTGGTGTATCGACTGTTAAAAAAAAAAAAAAATCAGCATACAGCCGGCAGGGAGGCAGGGGAGGCAGGGTAGAAAATTCAGCCAATCCATGACCTTGTGGCGCTTCAGGTGCGTGCCCTCAAACAGAGTCACTCTGGTCTTCCCGGGATAATTAGCCCTCTGGCATTAAAGGAAGCCTTTGATATCTGATCTGATCCTTTCTTCTTCAGTGACATCTTGGGACTTTTAAAATTCTGTTTATTCTCTGCCATTAGTAGTGAGGAATGACAAGAGGAGGAGACAGCAAAGCGGAGGGGGAAGGGGGAGGCCGGTCTCTGTATGCTGTTTGTCTAGCTTCTTTTAGACGGGGCCAGGTTGTTCTCACATCTCTGCGCAGCCCTCGGGTCTGGTGGCCTGGCTTGCTTCCTGCCCTCACCACAGCAGACGGTGTCTCAGCAGCTCGTGGCCTTCACTCGATATGGTCCCTGGAAAGTCTTTCCCTGGAGCATCAAGCCAGCCAGCTGGGGGGATTCTCTTTGCACAGGGGGAATGACTAAGTTTGATAAAACGTATAACTGAGGGCGCCAGCTTGAGGGTAGCGCTAGAATTCAGTGGTTCTGGCTTTGGCTTCCTTGTCCCTCAAGCTCGCCATGGAGATCTGAGCTCAGCAGAGGGCCCTGAGCCAGATTCCCAGTGGCTGGCCTCCCCTCCCATCGTTGGGAAGAGCTTGTTTCCTCTGGAAGCTAGGAGATGGTGGGGCAACATCAGAAAGTGTGGCGTGCGGGTCTGCTTGATGACAGCGCAGGTAAATGACACAAGAGTGTCATCAGTGTACAACTGGCCCAAGAGGCCTCTGTGGGTGTCCCACCTGCTCTCACCCACTGCAGCCCGGAAGAGGAGCCTATGAGCTGCTCAGGCAGCATCTCAACTCACAGACAAATACAATGGACATGCTGAGAGGGTCACGATGTTCTCAGATTGAGAAAAAGTGAGAGGAGAAATATATCCAGACATGGGAGCGCTCTTAGGGCCTCATCAGGTGACGCCACTGCTATGGGATTGAGGGGACACAGAAAATCCAGGGATGCTGTTTTCTCCCTGCTTTGTGGGAAAGGCAGAAAGACAGACATGACGATGCTGGAGGCTGTGCTGTGCTTACCGGGATCCCTAGGGCTTTAAGAATGTTCATCTTGCACATGGGACAGGTGCGATGGTCTAGGAGCCAGGGGTCAACACAGGACTTGTGGAAAAGATGCCTGCAATGAGAACCATACATCTTAGCGCGGCGGTAACTGCGGAGAGCACCTAGTCCACTCCAGCCCAGAGACTTGTTCAAGGTCACGCACTGCTCGGTGGCAGAGACAAGACTCGGACCTCCATCTCCGAACACCTGGGCCAGTAATGCTTCCTGTTACACCCTGCGGTGATACAGTCAACATCTGTCTGGCTCCCAGGAGGGTCCTCTATGATTTGCAGCTGAGTCTTCCAAGTTTGAGAAAATGCAGAGAATGTAGAAACAGAGAAATTTCTCTCTTTTTAGACAGGAAGAATCTTGAATGGAAAGAAGGCAAGTGGGGAAATTTGCACAGACCTTGCAGAATAACCTGAGAGTTGCCACTTTTAAATCAATCCAAAATTTCTTTTCCTACAGTCAGAAGCAAACTGCAAAATAAAGCCTCATTTCTGTAGATGTTCGGGGTCTCACACAAAAGGGCAGAAGAGCTCCGGCAAGCATTTCACAGCACAAGTGATGTTTTAAGTTGCTGTGGCTGGTGGCTCTCACATCAGAAGCCGGAGGGACAGGTACCGTAAGCTTTACTGTTTGTACAGCTGATGCGCTCGACTCCATCGCCAGCCTCACGCGCCAGCCCTCCGGAGCCTTCCTCTGAGTGACAGGATAAGGGGGGCATTTAGTAGGTGCGGGGGTGGGGAGTCCTGACTAAACTTCCTCTCAACGTGGCTCACAAGAGCCCACTCAGAGATCTCAGGGGCTGCTCGAATCAGAAGCTTGTCTTCTCACGCACACGACTCCAGACCACGGGCAGAAGCAGTCAGAATTTCCTGCCTGGGGCAAGAAGAGAGAGAACCATCTGTCAAGTATGAGGGCATCCTTAGGACACGCCATCCATGCTGCACTATTCCCGGAACGCTTGCACTCTCTTCCCTGACTCTCATTTTTATTGTGCTAACAGTTCTACCAGCTGTCTTTGCATTAGAAGGCTTGAGGCTCCGATGCGTACAAAGGACCCCTCAAATCAGAGAAGAGCTCAAGAAGTGTCACTTCTGAAACTGACATGGAGAAGAACCCATGTCCCAAGGATAGCATTAGCTGTGTACAGGACACGATCGCATTGGGGATTAGGAGACGCAGAGGAGCAACCTGGATGTGTCGTGTGTTTCCAGGTCATTATTTCGAATGCCTTACAGATTGACCGCTTACAAGTAAATATATCACATCCATTCATTCCCTTAGCCGTGCATCCACGCGACAAGGAATACCTGCCGAGAACTGTGCTCCTCACTGGGAATCAGCACGATAGGGATCTGGCTCCTTCTCTTTGGGAGTATAATCGGAGAGGCAGACACTAATAAAACAGAAATAAACTGCTTCACGACAACAGCGCTAAGGACACATTAGCAGAACATGGAGTTGGTAGGGGGCTTGTGACTGGGAGATGCATCCTAGTTTGGGTACATAGAGAAAGTTTCCCTGACGAGGTGCCGAAGCTCAGACCCCGGAGGGCTACACAGACATTGTCCACAGAAGGGAAGGAGAGGAAGAAGAGTCTTCTAGGCAGAATGACGGGCTTGTACAAAAGCCCTGACCTGGGCACAGGAAGAAGGTCAGTCCCAGTGCAGCAGCAGGAGGGAGGGGCTGATGCGGGGTTAAGTGTCCCCCTGCACCCCTACCCCCAAGCAATAATCGACCTCCCTGTGTTCAGGCTCTACGTTCAGAAAACAGGTGCCTAATCTAAATTTTCTCACTCACTGGTGTTCCTTCTGGGGAAAAGTCAGTCAGACATTCAGGTCCCTTTGACCATTCCTGGGAGGCAGGCTCTGTTGTGTTTCCTGCACATGTACTGGAAATCAGAAAGACAGCAGGGCCAATCATTAGCTGTTTTAGCCTAAATAAGTCACTTAGCATTCCCACGTCTCCTCTGCCTCATGTGTAAGATGAAGATATATCTATTCCTGCGGAGGAGGCTGTCCTGAGTCTCCCACACACAGAAGCTGGTACCTACTCTTATCCCCTGAGTGACTTCTTTGTCTGCACTGGTCATTCTTACATCTCCTCTGTGATGGTTAGTTTCATGTGGCAACTTGGCTAGACTATAGTACCAGTTCTTCAATCAAACACTAATTTAGGGTAGTCTGCAGATGTGATTCATATCTACAGTCTGTTGACTTTAAATAAAGGAGATTATTCTAAATCATCTGGGTGGGCCTGACCCAATCAGTTGAAGAGCCTTAACAGCAAAACTGGTTTCCCTGAGGAAGAAAAAACTCCGCCTCAAGATGGCAGCATCAGCCCCTGCTCAGCGTTTCCAGCCTGTAGACCTGCCCTACAGATTTCAGGCTTGCCAGCCCCTATCATCACATAAGCTAATTCCTTAAGAATATATGGTGGGATACAATGGCTGTCTGGAGAACTCTGACTGGTACACCCTCCAATGAGAATATAAGCTCTATGAGAGCAAAATCTTCATTTACTTAACTCATTGTTAGATCCCCAGCAACTAGACTAGATCTTGGCACACAGAGGATGCCCCAGAAATATTTGCTACATGAATGGATATTTCTCAAAAGGCCTGGCACTCCTCACTGCCTGCACATGGCTATCAAGTCCCACGAACTCATTCTTCCTAAATCTCTTCTAACTTCATTGCCTATTTTCGTTTTGCCACGCCGCTCCCTCATTCGTGATCTCATTAACTCTTTTTCTGTATTGTTGTACTAACGTCTAAACTGCCCTCCATGCCACCAATCTTTCCCTGTTCTTTTCATCCCACTCATCCTTGCCAGATTTATCTTCCCCCAGAAAAGTGCTAGTTACGTCACCCCCTTGTTCCATTCTGTTCTTCACCAGGAGCTGGGCACCAAGATGAATAAGACAAGGTCCTTTCCTTCAAGGCAGAATCACAGTGCTTCAGTGGTTCCCTGGGAACTACAACAGAAAAGGCCATTGAAGAGCCAGCCTTCTGGATCCATCGTTTTCTGGCTGTGGGATCTTAGGCAAGGATTAGCTCTCCAAGACTTCATTCCTCATCTGTGAAATTTTGTCTTATAGGTATGGAGTTTGCCAGTGATTGAGTCTGTGTGTGTGTGTGTGTGTGTGTGTGTGTGTGTGTGTGTGTGTATGAGAGAGAGGGAATAAATACTGTCCATGAAGCTGAAACTATAAGTCCTGATCATCCTTAATTGTAAGCTATCATTCATCTTATTAATACCACTATTATATCTTGTTTGTAGATATTAGGTTATCATTCTGATTTCTACTCTAAACTTTCTAATGCTGAAAGCAAGTAACTGTAAATTAAAAACAAAAATCAAAGGGAGAACTAAGGACAACAAAAACAGTGCTAAAATGATACACAGGGTGATCATGTTGGCTATTAAATAACATTCAATTATTCCTAATACCATATTTCTTGTGTTGACCAAATAGGAAGACTACTTCCTTATAATTGGGATTGCAAACAATTTTTTCCCTCCCATATGGAAAGAAAAATAAAAGTCACTAGACTAAATAAATAAAGGAACAGGGAAAGAATCTGGAGTTTAGTGAAATGCACCAACAGTTCAACAAACATCTCTAGGGCAATGTCTATCTCACTCATTCTATTTGTATGATTCGCAGCAGGGCACTGTCCCTTCCCATATTTTAACAAAGGCTGCATGAGAAACTACATACAGAGGAACAACGGGATGTGACAGTCTATCTCCTAACGATCCTGACAAGCTGGAAATACAACCGAGGGTTGACCAAAACTCTTCTCCTTTTTTATTCACCAAAGGGAAGCATACCTTTTTTTTTTTTTTTATGCGGTACGCGGGCTTCTCACTGCTGTGGCCTCTCCCACGGCAGAGCACAGGCTCCACACGCGCGGGCTCAGTGGCCATGGCTCACAGGCCCAGCCGCTCCGCGGCATGTGGGATCTTCCCAGACCGGGGCACGAACCCCTGTCCCCTGCATCGGCAGGCAGACTCTCAACCACTGTGCCACAGGGAAGCCCGGGAAGCATACTTTTTACAAAGAGTTCTTCAAATCCCTGACAAAAGATGATGCCAACAACTGCATCATAATGCTGAGATGATTATGAATAATGTAATAATTTCCCATTTGGGGGGCAGGAATGACAAACCCCTGTTAAACTGGTTTCCACATCTTTTGATTCTTATTTATTTATTTATTTTTAAATTAAAAATTTTTTTTATTGAAGTATAGTTGATTTACAACGTTGTGTTAGTTTCAGGTGTACAGCAAAGTGAATCATTTATACATATACATATATCCATTCTTTTTTTAGACTCTTTTCCCACATAGGTCATCACAGAGTATTGAGTAGAGTTCCCTGTGCTATACAGTAGGTCCTTATTAGTTATCTATTTTATATACAGTAGTGTGTATATATCAATCCCACTCTCCCAATTCATCCCTTTCCTCCTTCCCCCGGGTAAACATAAGTTTGTTTTCTACATCTGTGACTCTACTTCTGTTTTGTAAATAAGTTCATCGGTACCTATTTTTTAGATTCCACATATAAGCGAATCATTCTTGCTTTCTATTGTCCTTTCACCTATATGTCCTCCCCCCTCAATTAAATGACAGGTTTTCCCCACTGGGAGGCAGAAGGGGACTGTTCTGGCCTTTCTATCTCATTTACTTTTGCAGGCTTTCTTAGACCCTGCTACCCTCCCAAGGAGATTAGGATCCTGGGGCTTTCCTTTTGGCACCAGTGCAAGCTGCTTCATTCCCCTCGATGAAATAGTGCTCAGAGAACATGAGTCACTCAGGGACCAAAGAATCCCATTCTCCTAGGCAACATGTTTAGATAAGATCTATCCAGTGCTTCTATGGGGAGTCAAAATGTTTCTTCAGAGCTTCTGAATCTTATTTGCAAAGTTGTCAATGATCTAAGAGTCAGTGTTTAATTAATAAACAGCATGCAATTAATAAACAATATCTACTGGTTATCAAATGCCTGCTATGTACCAAGCACGTTACATACATTATTCATTCACGACAGCCCTATGA